AAAAAACCTAAACCCCAGTTTATGAGCTATTCGGTAAGGGGTTGTTTGGATCCATATGTTTCATGCTATGGTTGGATTTATCTTAATTCTTCTCTTGTAGTACCGAATGCTTGCGAGAGGGAGTAATCATAAGTAGGTTGTTTATTCAAGTAAGAATAACACTTTAGCTCTGGTCCACCCACATGATAATTTATCAAAGCAATGAATGTGACTTAATGAATCATGGTGAAAGTAACTAGATAAAATTCCCGTGTGTCCTCGAGAACATTTTAATTACTATCGGAAGTACTTCCGTCTTGTCCTTAGCAATAATAAGGATTGGGCCACCTTGCCGCACCTTCTTACTTTTGTTACTTGTTACTTGTCACTTGTTACCAATTATCTTGCTATCAAACTATCCATCGAAACTATCTTACAACACTTGCATAGAATACCTTATTGAAAACCGTTTATTGATTCCTCCTGCTCCTTGTTGGGTTTGACACTCTTACTTATCGAAAGGATCATGATTGATCCCCTATACTTGTGGGTCATCAATAGCACATAAAATTTTCTATTTTGATAAAAATCATACATAAATGGCATCAAAATTCTTGCTTAAACTTTATTTCAATGTGTTATCTAATACCATGATTGATCGGATTAGTACTCATGAGCCTCTACATGTGGTAGGCTTGATCACATGTATGAGCAACACTTATATGCTTAGCCAAGAAAAATAAAGGGTAAAATTTCCATAATTATTGTAGAAAAATGTCAAGTAGAACTATTAAAATTATTTCAAATACTATGCTTGTGTATGTTTCTAATTTGTAAAATGGTCACCAACATTTATAAATTTAGCGGGTCCCTATAGTAAATGGTCTACTGCCTTGCGCTTCTTTTATTGTATTGATAATGTGTGCCATGGGCAACCAACATATCGGCTACAAACAAATGAGCTTTCAACTATTGCAATCTAGAATTTTATGCCTCAGTCCCCGCAATAATAATAATGTCACACAATGATCTAGTATCTCAAACTAATGCCTCACAAAAACTGAAGAAGTAATATTTCACTCTTCATACATGCTGATATTAGATTACCTACAACAACAACCAGTCGAGAGGGGGCTTAGCATGACCGTATGTACCGTTAATTGAAGGAGATGGAAAAACACATCGATAATCGATCTCCATCGTTCGCTTCGTTTCTTTTCGTCCCCGCCATGTCGATGGATGCCATCAATTGTACTAGTTGTGAAGCAATGTCCTTTTTTTGTGCGAGACAACCCAAACGCACAACAAGCATGCATGAACAAGACACGATCCCATGTCCTTTTCCTCACCATGAAATGCCCCTACTCATGGATTCATCTTTGACTTTTTCCCTGATCACACGAACTATAAAAAACAAATGGTTGCCGTATAGCGTTGGTAGACCGCCTTTAACACGTGAGGGCATGATATCATTTTGAGCTTTATGTGGTGTACAGATAGGAGGGCCAGTGAAGAAACGACAATAGTAGTCGTGTACAGCTTGCACTACCCGAAAAATGATGGGCGACGGGACAAGACATCCTGAATGTGCATGCGAAGAAGAATGTGCATCGGACAAAAGGTCACCAGAAAAAAGTGAACAAAGAATATGGACTTGCGAACCTCTATCGAAGTGAAGTTGAGTTGTAGATAGGAGTTTGCATAAACTATTCTCTGAATACATGCAGTTTTTGGCTTCTCTATCACAGTGAATTGGCTGATGTCTAGGCACATAATCACGGCGGTGTGGTCAAACATTGATAAGCTCATGCTGTTGTGCATAGCACTACTAGGAAAAGTTTGTATATCATTGTTTTCGACGATGATGACGAACTCTAGTTAGGTGCCAACTTGTTTGCTTGGTGTAGAACCTTCAACAACGTTAGCAATAGCAACATCAACAACAAGAGCATTCGAATAAAAAAAGTGCATCAACATCAAACATCTGTTACACTATCATTGTGTATCTTGAACGTCTCTCTTCTCTCTCTCAATTCGTCACTATTCCTTATCTCTCACACAATCATTTTGATATGCTCTGATCGTCTTCTTTTGCATCATTCTTTCACCTCCATCTGCCCCCCTACCACCCTCTCCCCCTCTATAGTCATAGATGACCCTCGACATGATGGTTAAATCTTAGATGTGATTGCCTCCTTCTCTTAGAGCTCATGTACTTGCCCCCTCTCCAAATTTTGCCTCCATGTTTGAGAGTGAAGTAGAGCATGTTTTGGACCTTTTTTATATATATAAAATGGAAGTATTTCTTACCTCCGACCTCTACATCCCTACATGCATACATTCAATCTTATTACAATGTTCATTACAAAGAAGTGAAACTTCGATCTCGCCAAAAGGAGGGAACGATAAAGTATCATGGATCAACTAAGATGACTCATGCCAACAAAACTACTCTAAAGACCGAGGAGCCTATCACTGGCACGCCGACCAAATCGGGACATAAACTCTCAGAAAATGTACTAGGGATTCTTTGCACCAAGCTCCATCAGTGCCTTGTGATGCGACTTTTAAACATCGATCATAATCGCAGCCAATTGGCACATGAATGTAGGGCCTCCATACAAGAATGCACATTTTTTCTTATAAAAATGACATCATTTCTCATATTAAAGGTTAAATACAAAGCTTGCCACATCAATATGTGTCATGCATGCTTTGGAACTTCAATGGCCAAAAATTTGGATTGCTAGGGTGATGGCTATTGGGTTGGAGTTGCTCTTACGAAATGTGGTCGTGCAATTAGGATAGTCCCGTGCTCCACCTTGGACTATATGATAGCCATGACACATAAGCAAAAGTCTGATGTGACACTTTATTTAATGAGGGAAGAAAGAGCTATCATATCCGATCCTAGTTTATATATAGTTCTTAACACCAAAATCCAGACAACTCAGTACATTTTCTCTCACGAAACACATTAGATGAGAGCTCTTTTCGACACAACAATAATATACAATGCATCGAAGTGGCTATGTTCAATGTGTATGATACCGTCTAAGATAAAATGCAGTAAGTGTCCTCGTTCTTAAAAAAACAAAGGCTGATACATCATTATTCTTTTAAGCAATATGTATGTATTGAATCCATTCATGTTTCCCGCAAAAAAAAAAAAGAATCCATCCATGTGATTTAGGCTGGTAAACCGGGTAGTGGACCGCTGTTCTGTGGGCCACCAACGAGTCAAATCGCGAGCTCCCGCTCAAACCCTCTTCAGCCAGCCATCGCACGAACGCGCCGCCTCTTCTCCTCGCAGAGTCCGGCCGCCCTCGCCGTCCAGCGAACCCCGCCACCATCTCCGGCTTCGCGCCCCGCCATCCACATCGCGTCAAGGCAAGCCTCCCTGGCCGCCGGACCGGGCAGCGCAATCTATCTATCTATCTATCTATGCCCGGCCTTTGTTCCGGGGCTTTTGACGCTACTCCCTTTCCCCATTTGCGGCATCAATCGTGGGTCTGCGCACACACGCGACAACAATTCCCCGTCCCCATCGCTCATCATCTTCATCCCGGTCCCGGGAACAAGTCCACACGGCATCCTCGGATTATTTCTATATCTGAGCGCAGGGCTGCGGTTGCCGTTTTATTAATTAACATGCATCCATAGGCCTGCCTGCCTGCCTTTGCCGTTGGTTATTTAAGTTAAGGTGGTGCGATGAGTCGAGCAAGCTGAAAAATAAATGGGGAGCATTAGTGGTAACACGCAGCCACGATTGCGTCTCGGCCTTGCAAATCTGTCCCGAATTCACGTCCTCGCTGTGGAGCACTTCTCTATCCTTTCATGGTGGTGCGTGGATCCAGCGGGCGCTGGGCTTTTCTATCCAGGCGCCCCAGCTCACGTACGCAATTTTGACTTGCTTCGCCGATCACGTAACGTGTGGCGTAACGTGTTAGGGGTGCCAGCGGATCGTCGGCGATATCTCAGTTACTACTAACCGGAGCAGTCAAGAAAAGGACTAGGTAAAAGATGGGGTGGGGTGGCTTGCTTGCTTTTCGATCACTATTTTCCGGGGAAGCATCAGCATGTCAATTTAATCTTTGCAAGACAAGGCTGTTTTTAGTTTTAAAAACTGCCGCGCGTTGGACTAGAATAATACCCAAGTGGTCGTAGCCAAAGACACCACGGCCGCAAGACCGTCGTATAGCTGAAATTAACAATTCTTCCTCGGGAGCAAATTCGCGTGTGTGAACGGAGGAAAACGAAATGCATGTACACGGGTGTAATTTATATTATCGTCTGTGTTCCTTGTATTGCCATGATGTTTGATGAATAGATCGAGCAGGGGAAAGGGCAGTGGGCACCTTCACTTGTCCTCTTTCGCTTATTGATTTGAAATGTAAGAAATACAAAGAAGTCTTCATCTGTTTTGACAATGTCTACCATCATTCTATGCAAGGTTAAAATTGAGGCAACGACGTGTGCTACGGTTGGAGCGAAGCATTTGGGAAATATTCTGCCAAGAGAGCAATGTTATACAAGGGCTTTAGTTTGTCTTTGTTAGCTTCTCTTTCTTCAGCTCTGTTTGTTATAACTCTCTTTCTTTTTAGTGAATGTTATTAACTCTCTCTTAGTTAGGAATGGTGTGAATCTTTTGCCTCCATTTTGAAACGGAAAAAAAGAAGAAATGGATGAGAGACCTTATGCATTTAGCAACACCTTATGAAGGAGTATGTAATCCTTCGCCTTTTATTAGCTTCCACATGCTTCTTCCATCTTACTACTACATTTTGTAGCTGTAGGACTTCATACAGACAAGATGCAGGGATAGCCGCTAAGCGCAGGTATAAAACAACCAAAGAAACTGAACGAAAGAACAGCACCAACAAACCCCTATATATGTTCTTCTACCTATGCTTCAGGATTAACCATCATGGAATTGATCAATTCGTCGACCGCGCGCAATGTACACATGATTCCGACGGATCATTACATCCATGATCAGATAGGCCCTGCCATTGACGCGCTCAGTTGTTGGCCTTGGCCTGGCGTCCATGGGGCAGCAGCTTGAGCGCCTCCAGGAACGTGAGCTTGAGCCTGCCCAGGTGCGGCCTCACGTTCTGCTTCTCCAGGTACACCGTCTTGAGCGCCTCCCACCCTTGCTTGTGGATGGAGAGCGGGTCTGTGAGCACCGGGTGGTCTTTGGGGTACTGCTCGCTCAGCGTCGTCTCGTCGAGCTGGATCTTGTACCCAATGTAGTGCAGCTGCATGTCCTTGGACGGCTCCTCGAAGGTGCCGCGGGCGAGCCACTCCAGCCCGCCGTAGGGGATCACCTGGATCAGCACGGCGCCGGTGGGGAGGAAGAGCATGTTGGTCAGCCCCGCGCCGTGCACGCCCACCATCACGTCCGCCGAGTTCACCAGCCGGGCGAACCTGGACACCTCCGTGTTGGTGTCCGGCTCGCCCACGCGCACGTCGTACCCGAGGCTCATGGCCATGTCCGCCATGGCGCGCTCGTTCAGGAAGGCGCGCGAGTTCTTGCGGGAGATGATGAGGAGCCGCGGCCGGCGCCGGATGTCCCACCGGTCGCCGCTCGGCTCGGCCGCCGCGCGCGACAGCCCGAACGCGCCCCGCAGCATCGCGCGGAAGTCCACCATCGACGCCCCCGTCGGCGTCTTGGACGCGTCCACGCCCAGCTCCTTGTGGAACGTCGGCCCGACCACCACGCTCCCGTAGCACCGGACCTCGTCGTCGTTGTCGATGTCGATCACCTCGTACTTGCTCAGCCGCTGGAAGATCTCCAGGTACCTGTTGGTCCACCACGACTTGAAGGTGCTCACCAGGAACTGGACCTCGCCGCGGAACCGGTGCGCCGTGATGAACGCCGGGACGAGCACGTCCGTGTAGTCGTGGAACAGGTTGCCGGTGAACCCGCCGGTGGAGAGCACGAAGGCCGTCGCGGAGCTGTTGACCGTGCAATGCGGGCCGCCGCCGGAGAGCGGCCGGAGGGTCCACTCCTTGACGTGCGACAGCGCGTAGGCGTCCTGCTTCCGGCAGTACGGCTTCACCTTCCATTCCCGGTCCAGCGGCCGGACCTGGATGGTCTGGCTGCGGCCCTGCACGCGCACGTCGCCGGCGGCCTCGCACGTGTCCGACCGCCGGCCCGACTCGTAGCACACCGGCTTGCCCTGGCGGTCTATGACAGCGACGGGGACGGGCGTGGTGTTTGTGCTCACGGGCGCGGGCACGCTCACGCCACCCCCGGTCGACGTGTCGGCAGGTATGGGCGGAGTTTCTTCCTCCTCCTCCTCCTCCTCCGCTGCAGATTGCAAAAGTCAGCTCAGCATCAGATCTGGTCTGATCCCCACAAACTCCATTCGATACCCATTAATTCACTCCCCATACGGCCAGGAACATCAAATTTCCTGCCGTATCATACAGCTCCGCCGAATGGAGATGGAAACAATCCCCAAGAACGAACAAATTCATCACAGGAAGGAAGCAAGGGTCGCGGCACATACCAGCTGAATCCGGAGTTGTGACCACAGCTTCATGAGCGACCTCCATCTTGACGCTTCCCTTGTTCATCCCCTGCCTCTCCTCTGCTTTGATGGCGTCCCCTGTCTTCTCTGCAGCAGGCAGGCACGCAAAGAAAGATAAATCCCCCCTCATTCAGAACCAAACGCACAAGAATCAATCACCGCGCGCGTACATACCCATGGGGGAGAGCCTCGTCCTGATGACGGAGAGCAGGACGAGGGACGCGAGCATGAAGGCGATGAGCGACGCATTCCCCAGCCGCCGCCCGTCCCCTCTCGACAGGTTCCTGGTAGACTTCATGGCCTGCCTCTGTCTCTCTCTCCCTCCCTCTCTCTCTCTCTCTCTCTCTCTCTCTCTGTGGGTGCCCGCTACCGGCAATCTTTGTCTAGCAGGAATGGTTCTCGAGGGGGGCGTGGAGCTTTATACCGGCGGTGGCGGACGGAACAGAACTAACTAGTTCTGTCGTTGAACGGGGCAAAGGCTTCTCACCCTCGTTGAAACGGTAGCGGTGTTGACCGCGTGGACAGAGACGAGGTAGCGATGACGCGACGTGGTAGACGTGGAGGCGAGCTACTGAGACTTGGGAAAAGTGACTCCGGCAGCAGAGAGCAGATCGAGCGCGCAGCTGCCGCCGTCAGTGACCAGTGCCAGCGCTCCATCGAGGATCTCCGAGCTCGGTTCCGACAGTAACTACTGCTCAGCGCCGTCGCTGTCGTCCGTTGGCTCGGGAGCTTGCTCACCTCGAGTCGGATGCCATACTGTTAAGAAGCTGACAGACTTCCAAGTTTGCTGTTGAAAAGTGCTTGCTCGCTTCAGTGTGAAGTCCAAGATTATCAACCAAGTAACTGCAAAACCAACCCCAAACTCTTTGGGTGGCTGAAGCAAGCACTTCCTTGAACTTCTAAAAATGGAGTGGAATTGTGTTAAAAAAAATTGGAGTGGAATCAACAACATCGATGTTATCCTTAAAAATTAAGGCAGTTGAATCAATTACATCCCTATCAATTGCATTGTGTACTGTAGATTATTATGGATATGCGCACTATCGAAACATACTCACCCCCGCTTTCAAATGTTGATCATGTTAGTCTTGTTCTGAGTCAACTTTATAAACTCTGGCCAAGTTTATGGATAAAGATAGTGCCATCACGACGCTGGATATAAACAAATTCATTAATCTAATATCATACTCCCCCAGTCCTAAGATATATTTTATAAGAATTTTTTAAAGCCAAACTTTACACCTTTGACCGATAAGATAGAAGAATTCGTCAACATCTGGAATACCAAATGAGTAGTATTAGGTTTATCATAAAATAAATGTTCATAAGATAGATATTTGGTACATAGATTTAAATAAATTTCTATATGAACTTTGTCAAAAATTGTGAAGAATGATTTTGATGAATACCAATGCCCTCTATATCATGGGATGGGGAGAGTAGTACTTAATGCTCTTTAACAACTATGAATGATACTAGATGGCATGAGCCTTATTACTGGTAGACATTAATTATTCATCATTTCATTCCAAAGCAAATGATTAAATAACAATGTATGAATGGTAGACATTAACTATTCATCATGATATATATTGAAAGCATACATTAAATATCAACGTATAAATTGAGTAATCATAGTAATTAATATTATAATGGCATGTATGGCCAACATGAACGTAGAATATGACTTGCCGATTCCCTTTATGGTGTATTCTCAACCTTCGCGGAATCATGGTTCAACTTAACCATGGCTATATGTTGTTTATTTGTATGGGATAAGAGCCAGTTTGTGTGAGAACAAAAATCAAAGTCTGTAGTGAGTAATATCCAAAATTATCTTTTTGAGAGCATTGGTTCCTTTTTTCCCTCGTAGTTCACGAATGTGTTGTTTCTTGATGCAATCTTGCACATGTATAAAGACACGAACATATGATGTAAAAATTAGTTTTTTATTTTTATTCTTAAGTAGCTCTAATGATTTTTCTTTGTGCTGGCCTTTGTATATGTTTGTGGTAGGATTAAAAGCACGATAAGCTAAAATGGCATATAGATCTAGATTGGTTATAATTTGCATCTTAGGATCCAGGGACATGAACTCTACAAATCATCTCTCATCTTTTCTTCTTCATTGATACAATTAGTGTGTACTTGGGTTCGGTTGGAAAAGTACATCCAAACTAATTGGAATTTGGTGGAATAGAACCAAGAAAACGGGTTTGTGGTGTCAAAGGGATTAGAATAGATATTTTTTATTGAGCAACATGCTTGCTTTATGAAATGTTCAACATGTTTACGAGTATTGTCAGTGTGAAATCCGGCAGAACCCTTGGTAGGGTGCCGCGACTAGCCGAAAAGCTCAAACAAAAAACATGAGACAACTACCGAGGTTCAAGGCCTCTCTCTGGAGGTAAAACCCTACTCTACTCGTATTGTATTGATGTGATGGGGTGCACAATGGCGGTCTCTAAACTCATAAGTATACCATCGATCTCCATCGTCCACTTCGTTTCTTTTCGTCCCCTCCACGCTGACGGATGCCATCAACAATGCTAGTTGTGAAGCATTATCCCCCTTTTGTTTATGTGCGAGACAACCAAACGCACAACAAGCAAGCTTGAACAAGACGCGGGCCCATGTCCTTTTCCTCGCCACAAAACAACCCTACTCATGTATTTAGTTATGACTTGCTACCCTGATCACGCGAGCTATAACAAACAAATGGTTGACGTATAGCATCGGTAGATTGCCTCTAACACGTGAGGGCGTGATATCATTTTGAGCTTTAGGTGGTGTACATATAGGAAGGCTAGTGAATAAATGATAACAATGGTCGTGTAAAACTGGCACTACCTGAAACAAAAAAGAAGGGCAATCAGACAAGGCATCCTAAATGTGCATGGGAAGAAGAATGTGCATTGGACAAAAGGTCAACAGAAAAAAGTGATCAAAGAATATGGACTAATTGTGAACCTTCATCTAAGTGTAGTTTGGCTATAGATAGGAGTTTGTAAAAATTAATCTTTGAATACCTAAAATTTTCGACTTCTCTATCACGACAAATCGGTTGATGTCTAGGCACGTAATCGTGGCGATGTGGTGGAACGTTCATAAGCTCATGTTGTTGTGCATAGCACTACTAGATAAAGTTTGTATATCTGTCGACGTTTTGGGAACGGGGTACCCAGACTTGCCTGCCTGCGGCCTCCGGCGTGGCTCAAGGAGTAGCCCAGTATGGCCCACCTTCGTCAACAGAAGACCAAGACCCTCGCGAGGGTCCAAGCCTCGCGGGCGGATGATAGGAAGCTTCCTCAGGCGGAGCCTCGTCAGGTTGCCTTGCGAGGTGGCGGAGAGATCAAGGCGGGGTACCTCACGAGGTGCCTGTGACGCAAGCCATGACGACCAGAGCCAGGCGGGTGCCAGGCGGGCGCCGGCCTGTGCAGTGTCCTTGTTTCCTCTTTGGTGCAAAGGGGGCAAACACAGGCCAATGCATCAGGCAAAGGTTACCATTCCGGTGCAACAAGACCAAGACCAGCAGAACGCCAGGATGGAGGTCATCATGGATCCCAGGAAGGCGTCATCATCAGGGCCTTTGGCAGGCGAGGACCAACTTTAGTCAGGATAAGTGTACTAGATGTTCCCCTTCAAAATGGCCAATTGTTGGCGCCCTTCCCGCTCAATATTTGGGAAGAGGACCAGGGGCCTTGGTCTATAAATAGGACTAGCCACTCTCAAGGCAGGAGGAGTCAGTCGAACCTTAGCCAGAACCACCAACACAAGAACATCCCTTGCGAGGCTGTTCTTTCCTTGTATTGTTCATCATCAGCCCATGAGGTAATCCACCACACCACAAACTAGAGTAGGGTATTACACCACAATGGTGGCCCGAACTAGTATAAACCTTGTGTCCCTTGTGTTGTTCTTCATGTAGCCTAGATCCTTTGCGAGACGACGAGACGTGAGCCGGTAGGGGGAGTGATCTCCGCACGCACCCCAGAGTTCGAACCTTAAGGGTCTGCCGGAACCCGAAATCCGACATTTGGCACGCCAGGTAGGGGGTGCGCCGGAATCCGCCTTCCGCCGTCTTGTGTTTCGCCGTCCGTCGCTTCCATGTCTGACGCTCGTCGAGCCCGCGCCGAGCGCCGGGCTGCTCTCGCCACCCGCGTCGCCCAGATGGCGCCCGTCGGCGGATGCCCCCATCATTCCCCGTCGCCTGCCGTCAATGCCTCCACCGGTCCGGCGTGGAACGAGCAGCAGGCCTCGTCCCTGCATCCCTTGGTGCGGCGAGAAGGCCGCACCGCCACCCCGTCGCTGACTCTAGCCGGTTCATCGTCCCACGCCCGGCGCCCTCCTCGGGCAAGGCTCGGGGGCTCTCTCCTGGAGGGCCATCGACTTTGCCAAGATCATGAGGGAGGCGCTCAGGCACCACTTGGAGGCGTGCTTCAAAGCGCCTTTCCCTCAGGAAGGAACAAGGCAAGGAGGGCCAAACCCTCAGGAGTTCATCAGCAAGATCATTCAGGAGATGCAGGAGTCAAGAGTCATGAGTGGCAGCCGCCGCTTACCCGCCGTAGTGTTGGAAATATGCCCTAGAGGCAATAATAAAAGCATTATTATTATATTTCCTTGTTCATGATAATTGTCTTTTATTCATGCTATAATTGTATTATCCGGAAATCGTAATACACGTGTGAATACATAGACCACAATACGTCCCTAGTAAGCCTCTAGTTGACTAGCACGTTGGTCAACAGATAGTCATGGTTTCCTGACTATGGACATTAGATGTCGTTGACTATGGGATCACATCATTAGGAGAATGATGTGATGGACAAGACCCATTCCTAAGCATAGCACAAGATCGTGTAGTTCGTTTTGCTAGAGCTTTTCCAATGTCAAGTATCTCTTCCTTAGACCATGAGATTGTGTAACTCCCGGATACCGTAGGAGTGCTTTGGGTGTACCAAACATCACAATGTAACTGGGTGACTATAAAGGTGCACTATAGGTATCTCCAAAAGTGTCTGTTGGGTTGACACGGACCGAGACTGGGATTTGTCACTCCGTATGACGGAGAGGTATCACTGGGCCCACTCGGTAGTGCATCATCATAATGAGCTCAAAGTGACCAAGTGTCTAGTCACGGGATCATGCATTACGGTACGAGTAAAGTGACTTGTCGGTAACGAGACTGAACGAGGTATTGGGATACCGACGATCGAGTCTCGGGCAAGTAACATACCGTCTGACAAAGGGAATTGCATACGGGGGTTGATTGAATCCTCGACATCATGGTTCATCCGA